CTTCACATGAGGTCTTGATTCTCATGTAAAGGTACAAGATCCCAATAATGAATGTAAATGTACTGTATACCTAAAATGTATCAATAAACTCAATAAAAAAACACAAAAGCAAAACAAACAACAAAAGAAATTCATTTCTTTTGTTGTTGTTTTGTTTTCCTTTTTTCAGAAGATATTCAACTATGCCATTTATTTTCAATTTAAAAATGCAGCAGGACAACATGTGATTCAACAGGAATGGTGTTGATTCAGGAAAGCAGGTAGTTCTGACCAAAGAATGGGGTCACAGAGCACGCTGAAAAACCCAGAAAAATTTGAGTAAAGAGGTGCCAGCAGAAGGCTCCCCTAGCCTGTGAATGCCACTTTCCACCCACGGGACCCAAGTACCATACACAGGCATGTGACATGACTGCCTGTGTGCAACTAACAGATCTTTTGTGAAAATCCAAGGCAGATAGCGTAAAAATTAACAGGGCAGAGGTATCACAGTGTAATCATATTTGACACATTAAGAACAAGACATCTAAAGAATTCTGTGAGAAAGTGTGCTGGGAGATGAGGGAAATCATTCACTGAGGACAACGTTCTGAAAGGCTATGCAGCTGAGAATGAAGAGAAAGACCCCAGAGTCTTTTCTCTTTTTTTGAGACAGGCTCTCACTGTGTAGTTGCGACTAACCTGGAACTCACTGTGTAGCCCAGGGTAAGACCAAAGTCTTTTAAAAGAACACATTTCTGGAAGAAATACTAGGGAAATTGTGAAGAAAAAAAACTTATCCGGAAGTTTTAATAATATGGGACTGAAGTATAGAATACAACATAGACTTGGAAAATCTGGAGCCAACATCAAGAAAGTTCTCCCTGCCAAGACAAAAGGACTGAAATATATACCAAAGCTTCCTGTAACACCAAGAATCATAAAACTGACTCTGTCTGGAAAACACAAGACAAAAGGCAGGAAATGAACTAGATCGGCAGCACTTCCTCACATTCTTTCCAGAGTGGGATATGAAATGCTGAGGAAGAAGTGAAAAAACTACCAAATGTGTTTGCTCAAAATAACTTGACAAGGAAACCATCTGGCCATTTCTCCCTCAAACTGAATTCCACCTCCCCTATCAGAGCCTCAGTAGCTGCGTATGGCACAGGAGGCCTCAGTCCCTCACTGTAGAATCCACCAGGCCCTGTGTGCAACAGTGCAGCAAGATGTCCCCAAGGCAAAGCAGTCAGCCCCTGAAAGGGCCAAATGAAGGCAGAGTTTAACCCACTAAGCCACAAAGGCTTCCAGCTCACACACAGGGAAAGTGACTGCTACAGCTAACATGTCTCTGTCCTTTAACAATGAGGACACGGGGCAGATTTAGCTCAGAGGTTCTGCTGCCTGCCTCACGAGCACAAGAACCCAAGTTTGATCCCAGGTACAAAAACATAAAAATAATAAGAAAGAAGACAAGAAGGTTGAGTCTGCCAGCCTGAGGTCGTGAAATAGAAGGTTGGTGGACACCTAGTCTCTCCCCTGCAGTGGCTTATGAGCATGAAATCTCCTTCAGTTCATCTTTGGTCACTATAAAACCACAAGAGATTTATTTCTTCCCATCACCATGCAGAGTACACACAGCAGAAGCCTGCGGGAAGATGAAACACAGGCTTGGAAAGTACTCCAACCACACGCCCCTTCCCCGAATAAGGAGACCTCGCCATTGCTGACACTACATGCTTCTGTGACCCGGAAACCATTCTGCTCTAAACACCGGCTCTGAGCACAGAACCCTGACAGCAGGACACCCTGAATTACTTCCCTTGATCTGGGCTATCCCAAGACCTGGAATCTGCCATTATACACTTCACTTGTGACCTCCCTAGGGCAATCTGAGGCATTTCCACATGGCGTCTGGGACACTAATGGAAAGATATTCCTTCAAAGGCAGGTCTCACCTTCCCGAGTCTCCCCTGGTCAACACAGCTCACCATATATTTGAGAGCAAAGTATTCGCCTCAATCACTGGCAGGTGGTCCACAGACTCGCACTTGCTCTCACAAAACTTCCTATTACTGAACTCTTCGAGAGAGACACAAGCCACCCCTCCCTGGCTCGTTTTTTCACAATTGAATACATACACAAAATGAACTGGACTTTGCAAAACTCTCCCCAGCGACCAACTCTTCCCAGCCCCATTCACATAGGGAAGGAAATATAAAGACCTACTTACTCCCACAGAAAAAATTCTGAATTCCACAAGGCCATGTTTCTCATTTTACATTGACAAGGTGCACTGTTGTAATCCAGGTATGAGGAAGGGGCAGGAGACACTGCCTTGAACAGCAATGCCTGTCACAAATTTAACACAATAGTTACTTGTGCTCAGTGAGCAAGAGCAGCTCTGCACAGTGCAGTTACTACGGCCAGACCATGCATCCCCTACACTGTGCCACCCTGAACAAGGGGCCAGAGCCAAAGAGCCATTCCATATTTCCTCAGCAGAGCAACTTTCCTCTTTTCAGAGCCTCTAAATCTATTGTCTCAGTAAATAACAAAGACTGGCTGATAAACTGTGATGAAATCCACTTAGTACAACATATGCTGACCCACCAGTTTATCCCATTATTTATATTGCTAATCGTTGCCTGTGTGATCTCTGCATCACCATACTCAGAGGAAATGGGAGAGAAGTTACCGGATCAGGAACTCTTCCTTGTAAAGATGTAAAAAAATACTTAAAAAGACTTCTTTGACTGGGGATGTACACTAGTGATAGACAGATTGCATAGCATGGGCAAAGCCTGTGGACTGATACCAGGACCATTAAAAAGGCTTTAATTGCCCTGTGATTAAAACCACAGGATATGGAGCTACATAAACCTAGACCAAGTCCCCGCACTATGGCATTTTGGATCAATAACCATGGCACGCAGCAATATGTTCCACAAATCTTTATAACCCATTTTTTCATCTTATAAGTAAGAGGCATGAAAAAATATTTTGAGACAAACCTGAGTTTGTCCTAGAATATGTCACACCAAGAATTTGCAGTACTCTACTGTTCCCACTAGTGAGAGGGCCTTCTCCCCCACATACCTGAGGAAAGAAAAGTACTAAGGCTGGTCTAGGCACACACTTCCTGGAAAGTTCCATGAGCCAAGAGCCACTCTGAATTCAGAAGAGTCGCATCTTCTCTTTCATGGATATCCTGACTCCTGAAAGTGAAACCAGATGGAGAAGACACCCTGTAAGATGCTCTGCCTCAAGACTCCTTCCTGAAGGCCAATGATGGGCAGAATTGCCCAGGAGACCATGCAGTTCAGGCTTCCCCGCAGCATCTCAACCCACCAGGACCCAGTGAATCAGAGGACTGTGCCACCCAGAGGCAGAGGAATCCAGGGCGTGTTTAGCCCACAGGGGGAGGAGGCCCAGCTCCACTTCAGTGTCACAACTGCTTCTGAATAGCCAATAAGCTGCCCTTGATCGCCACTACATTGACTGCTTCAGAAACATGAGTGTGGGAACACATTTGTCCAGGAGCCTCAAGGCCTTAGTTTTTTACTGGGTGAGAAATAACAAAGACCCCTCAATAATCTCCTTCAAAGCGAAACACTTCAGTTCCTCTGAAAAAAGCAAAGGGGAAACTGAGCCCTAAGGAATTTCAGGGCCTCTCATTCTACCTTTCAATGAAAAGTACTATGGGCAGAAAATCAAAGGAAAGAAGCTATCCACTGAGTCCAAAGTAAAAGACTCCTTGAGGGTATCTTAAAATCTAGTGTACATTTTTCTTTTCCTTTTTCAATTGTCAGATTCAGCATATGAATTTCTATGCATTACCCAAACTCCGAATAGAAATGAATTCACATAAGGAAAGAATGAGCAGAAACTTCTCTTTCGCTGCCTAGTAACAGGCCCCTCCCTCTACCGATCTCGCAGTTTACAAATGGTGCCAAGTCCTGATGGCTGTGGGGTGCCGGATCCTCAGCCTCCATGCGAAGAGTCCAAGCTGGGCCACACAGGATGAGTCTCAGAAGATAAACAACTCCAGGATTCTGGCTTTTTCCTCCTTCACAGCAGGGATTAGTGTGGTGGTTTCCAAGATGTCCAAAGAACCACTGAGGAATCTTCTTGCTCTAGCAAAGGAAATATGAATGTAACTGATATTATGGCAAAGCCTACTGAGCTGCATAGAGGTGGGCTGGCAGTGGTGAGAGAAGGATTTATACCATCTACGGCTTATTTATTCCCATATATGGGATTCAGGAACTGAGACACTAGAGCCTGGGAACCTGTTGTGTCCTAGACACATCTCAAAGGTGACTGCAATTTCACAACACCTAAAATACAAGCTATGAGTCCTATTGTTGAAATTAGGGGAATAAAGGCTCAAATATGAGATATACAATACCTGTAGGACACTGAAACTCACATGCTGGAAACTGAATTGCTTTCAAAGTAGAGAATTGGCCACGATGCATGGAAGGATGAAGACTTGAAGGGTTACTGGCCCATGTATTATATCATAGCTTGCCTTTGTCTCTGAGATGCTTGCCAAATAGATGCCCTCCCTCGAGGGCGCAGACAACATTCTCCACCACCACTTGGTCCATGGCTGTCAGTTTTTCCTATTACATAGAAAGTACTGATTCCAATTATCCTCATTTGTTGCTCACAGTAGAGAAACCTCAGTAGCATTTCTAGGATCCACCCAGCCCTGGAGTTCACTTGGATGGTCCAGTGCAGTCTATCTTCTTTCTACCTGCTATTGAAAGGATTTCCACATGTTATGAAAAGACAGAAACTTTGGTGGTAAATTGTTAAGCTCAGGTTTCTACAATCAGAAAATTCAAACAGTCCATTTGTCTCTTACAGTGGCAATTACATTGAACAGAGAAAGACAGTGATCGAAAGAAGTCACTGTCTGGCAGGATCTCTACTTGGGGTACCAGGCAGTGCCCATGGACTAATCTTAGCATTGTTCATGGTGCCTAAGTTACAGATTCTGTAAAGGGCTCTCCACACCATTCAAAATGATGATAAAGGTGACAGGAGATGCTTACTGATCTCCGCCCTGCATGAACAATGTAATAAAAGTAACAATGAACGGGCTATAAAAGTACCTTGTGACATCATTTCACAGATGTTTTTCTAGATCCAGGACTGCCTGAAAAGACATCATTAACAAGGCAGGTTAATATCTCAGTTTGTCAAATGTGCATTCTTGTCCACAAAACAATACCTACATAAAACAAAATCCTAACACAAGCAATTGATATTTTGATTTGTAAATGTAAATTAATTGGCTAATATTTAGAGAACACTGAATTTTTGAAACAACATTACACTGAATACATATACAAAGATTTAGACATAGATCTATGAATGCAAAGAGGGAAGTATTTCCCATCTCATTTCCCTCTATGCTGGTCTTCAGACATTATGATTCAATCAGCTAGGTGCCAAAGGGGAGGGAACAGTACATGCCAGAATAGGGGAGAAGCAACCTCTTCCACTCATTTCTTGTCCTGACCTGCCGGGCCCTAGGCTTCTCTTCTTTATCTCCTTTTCTCATATAAATTACTTGAGTCATTTTTTAAAGATGCAACCCCTGGAAATAGAGACTGATTTCCAATTAAGGAAAAATAGTACATTAAATACACAATTATGGCTCAAAACTAAAAGTGTGAGCTGGGAGGCTGTACATTAATGGTAGAGTACATGTACAGTGTATGTAACACTTCGAACTGGACTCTGAGAACCAAATCCATAAAATAATTAAAATGTGGCATACGATCTGCAGGTATCATTAACACCAAGAAAATGGTAAACATTCCATTTCTGAATGTTACTTTTTAAATTAAATTTTCTCCATGTTTTTCAAAGGAAACTTATGCAAAGCACTAATAAAACAATTTCATTAAATAACCTGAAATTCAGCATGCAGTTCATTTCTGAAATGAGATGTTAAATCATCCTCAGTGGGACAAGGGACCAACATTTCCAGGCATTCACTGTCGGAGAACAACAAACACAGGGTCAATGCACATTTTTGCATGAAAAGTACCACTAAACATTCTTTGGGTAGATTTATAGAATAAATTATACACAAATGACGGTTTCATTAAATATAATATATTAAAACAATCCCATGGTAAACTAAAGTGAAAGCTTAAGCTAATTAGAAATTGGAGACTAGTAAGTGAGATTAAAGCAATAGGTCAAAAGGCAATTAAAATAGTAATTGTTCTTGTTTGTACATTGAAGATAACAACTTTTTAACTTTTATTTATGAAATGAGCAAGGGCCACCTTTAAATGAATGATAAACACCAAAACCACATTTCTTCGTAAAATAAACATCCACAGTTTAACTGCTGACAAGGACTGATAGCTAAGAGCATTCACTGTTGTAAAATATCAAGAACTTGCATTTACACATGAGAACAAACCTAAAACATCTGCTTTCAAGGACATTTACTGAGCAGGAATAACACTAGAACTTTTAAAGAAAAATTATGTGAAACAAGAAATTATCCTTGGAAATAAAGACACTAAAAAGATATTAATTTTCTCTCTACCTTGAAACTTACAGAAAACTTTTCAAAGGCACTTATAGGAGATTGGACAAAAAAACATAATTGAATGCAATGAGAATATCATGTAAAACACTTGTCTGGAAAAAGAGGTTAAGTTGCATCCACCCCAACTTTAAAACTGCAGGTCCCCATCTAAGAGATTCATTTCAAATTGTGCAAAATAAAAAAGTGTTGCTTCAAGAATATTTGTGGAATAAAGACAAATTAAAATGAATGTCAAATGACAGAAACGTCAGAAAACCCCACACACAATAATACTGTAAACTAATGCAAGAAATAGGGCCCCAGAGAACTTCATTCCTTTCAGGGTTTAACAGGAACAAGTTATTGCCAAAATGGTCACCCATTTACCAATATATAAAGAGTAACACCAAACTTTTTAAGGACTACACTTGGTTGAATACAAGGATATTAAGTACACTAATATATCACATAAAAGTGTGCAATAGAGTTCAATGACAAGGGCCAGGTGATTCCATGTGGGTAGTGAACAAGACAAACATCAACTTCCTTATTTTTACATTCAAATTATTAGGAAACTTTCTGTCTTGAGGTAACCTATGAAGAAGACTCATTATAAATATTAAACAAATTATAGAAAAACCAATTGTAAACTTATATTATTATAACTTTATGATATTCTATTAACCATACTATTCTGTTGGTTAAAGAAATGCAAAGCTATATTCAAAGGCTGCAAAAAGACATAAACAGTCATATCCCACAATGGATCCCTCACACATTGCTATGCTCCTTTTCAGGGCAAAATAATAAACATATGGGTTCTTACAAGAAAAGTTATTAAGAGGGCCAAAATCAAACTTTAAACAAATAAATGACAACAATATCTACCTGAGCATTCTGTCAAAGAAAAGCAAAATGCTCATGGTCTCTAGTGGTCAAGGGCCACTTTGGTCCTCTCAGCCAACCGCATCAGCTGTTTCCTCATTTTCCTCTCAACACAACACAAACCCCAAATATTATCAAGAAGGGGACCTAAGACCAATACTGAAACTGACAAAATGATCTGAAAGGCTCAACATGTTGCCACATAAAGTAAACACTGAAGCCAACACAGCTAAGGACCTTCCCGGTCATAAGGCTGGAAGCCCGCGGGACACATCTCTTAGTAGCCCTTCTCCTAGGAAAATAGACCAGCATAGATAGCCAGTACGAGCAAAATCACAACACAACACACCAATTGAAAATCAAAATCAAGTAAACTTAAACTGAATTGTTTGCTTGAGCGGGTCCAGCAAATTCCTACATCCCTGGCCACTAAAACCTCTGTGTACTCCTGGGCTCACACAAACTCAGAATTAAGCATTCGCTGTCTCTTCAATTTTAAGTTCAAAGCACAACCACACGATCACGAACAGGGCACTAAAAGAGTAACATTTACACAAACAAAATGATCGGAAAGACTCCTCACACCGTTACATAAAGTAGAACCATCTGCCCAACTTGAAAAATCGCAACACAAACCACCAATTAAGAAGCAAACTTTACACGCACTTGGAGATCCCCACCGGAGCGGCCGCCATGTTCCCACATCCTGGAGGGCAATGAGGTACGGAAGCCCAGATGCACAATCACCAGTTTAACCGTTCTGGACACAGAACAGAGCCCCGCTGAGCCAGGAAGTTAGCTCAGTGGCCCCGCGCCTGCGCAAGGTCCTGAATTTGAT